TATCGAAAAAGTCTATATTCTTAACTTAAGAATATATTCTTAAATAAAGAATATATTCTTAATTTCAGAAGAATATCATCTAAAATCTTTAACAAGATTTTTTAAGTATAAAATCTTCTACTTACGAGAATATAATTTTTTCGGTGTAGACACGCGTTAAATATTCTTGGAGTTTTGTGTTCGTAAAATAGAAACATTGTATAATAAATAATATCTAAAAGAGATAAAAACAGGTCTCTATACGAGCAATGTAGGAACTTTATTAACAATAATTTGCAATGGATAATTTATTTTTGTTACCACGATATTAAACATTGCGGATTATTGTTAATAAAGTTACATACATTGCTCGTATAAGAGACCTGTTTTTTATATTTTAAATATTGTTTATATTGCGAGCGTTTTTCATGTTGATTATTTATAAATAATATCAGGTAACTCTTGTGCAAATCTATCAATTGTTAAATCAGAAGTATATTAAGAACGAAATATTTCGTTCTTTGAGTGAAAGTGCGTTGTCGACAATAACACGCATATATTCGCGTAATGCGTTTCAAAATTTCCGTAACTAAGTCATACCGTAGCTAAATACCTAACATTATTACCAGTTCGATCGAACTGTTGATGACGTATTTCGCTAGGTTGTTGCACGCTAAACGTCGGGTTTCAAGAAATCACGGTGTGTTGTGAAATATGACTATATCTCGTAAAACTAATATCTTCCGTTGATTATCGGTTGTTTTGCACGTGTACATTCATGTGCGGGGCACATACTTCGATGAAACACACACACTTAATAAGTAATTTAATCGTTATATTTTTTTTAGCACGTTTTATCTATTTGTTAAAAAATTTCTCCGTCATATCGTAAACAATACTAACATTTATTCTTCGCGATTTATGTGATTTCGTTTTGGTGGCAATGCGGTTGCACGGAAAAAGAAGAAAAAATTGCATGCCGTGACGCACACCTGCAACCGAGATTATATTTTTGTGTTTTCACGGCAAGAAATGAAAATATACGCATGTTTCGTTCGTGACTCACGTATTAGCCAACAACGGAATCGTTGTGATAGCGCGTATCTTTATTGCTCGCGATTATTTAGCTTTATCTCTTCCAACAACCGTAGTGGTAATGATGATCGAAAAATCTCGCTTTGATTCGTGAGTAATTTCTTTCTAGTTTGTTTGCAAGTCTTTCGAACGCGAAGGTTATTCCGATCGTAATCGGATTTTTGATTGTTGTATGTGCGAAAACAAAGTGTGCGACGAAAAGGAAGATCTCTTTTATAAACAAGTATTTCTCTTTTTCTTGCAAGAAAATCTTTGAAATATTTCCGACATACATTTTATGATAGTGTTTTCACGCGCGACGAAGTATCAAAATTTCGCAAGGAGTTTTTACTACACCGAAAAAATTGTATTCTTGTTTTGAGGAGATATCCCACTTACTTTAAGTATATTTTATACTAAAATAGGCGCCAGGAAGAGTTTCTTATTTTTGAGAGGAAAGTCCTCTAAATAGTAATATTGATAAGAATATATACTGATTAGAATATAAAAAGCCTCTATATAGAAAAACATATATATATCTCACTATCGAAAAAGACTATATTCTTAAATTAAGTATATATTCTTAAATAAAGAATATCGTCTAAAATCTTTAAGATTTTTTAAGTATAAAATCTTCTACTTACGAGAATATAATTTTTTTGGTGTAATAAAATTCGAAATGTATTCTTTTCTTTTTCATCTTTATCATTAAAACATTTATATAATTTTGCAATTTTTTATTTTGACATTTTGTTCGCGTTTGAATCGGCGCCATATTTTATTAATTAGTGTACCTTTCGAGTATATTCACCGAAAAAATTGTATTCTTGTTTTGAGGATATCCCACTTACTTTAAGTATATTTTATACTAAAATAGGCGCCAGGAAGAGTTTCTTATTTTTAAGAGGAAAATCCTCTAAATAGTAATATTGATAAGAATATATACTGATTAGAATATAAAAATCTCTCTATAGAAAAACATATATATCTCATTATCGAAAAAGACTATATTCTTAAATTAAGAATATATTCTTAAATAAAGAATATTCTTAAATATATTAAATAAATAAAGAATATATTCTTAAAAATATATTCTTAATTTCAGAAGAATATCATCTAAAATCTTTAAGAAGATTTTTTAAGTATAAAATCTTCTTACTTACGAGAATATAATTTTTTCGGTGTACCCAATAGTATTTTCCTAATAGCAATAATTTTGTATGTTTTTAATTCACCATCGATTTTGTAATATATTCAAAAAAGATTCTTGTGTTTCATAATCGGCGTTTAACATAAATTCGTAAAATTGCCAAGAGATCACACTTTAGAATTACTTTTTGCTTAATATAGAATGCTCAATAGAAGTTCAACGGGCGTGGTTGAAACTGCGAATTTATCTAGGTCGAACCAGCTAAACAATCAGACGCAGATGATGTCGGAGTTTTGTTATACCAATCCCACGATAGTGCCGGGAGAATTGCTCTCACGTCGTGGATTCTCCATGTACAGCGGTGCGGACACCGTCGACGACGACTACGGGAAGAACAAGAATATCCATTACGGAACTTATCATGAAGCACGATCGAAATTCTAATACATCGGAATTTAGGGTGAAATTTAATTTCACACGCAAAGTTTCAATCGAGTCACTGACGCGAAAGATATTTGATATCTGCGCCACAATTGATCAATTATAAGATAAGTCAGATAGAGTTTAAATGTTCAAATCTTTTGTGCAAGTTATCTAATTAGTTCTTCACTAATTAGTATATATATATATATATTGTTATTTCCTTCACGTATAGTATGTAATTTATTGCAGAATGTATATAACTAAGTGTGTAAGAAGATTTGTGTTTTCTTATAATGACAATAATGTAAATATGAACTATAAAGACAACTGTCCAAAAAGTATAAGAATCAAGTTTAGTTCTCGTACAAAATGAAAAAATTTTCAGCCTTCCGCTGCGACGCAAAACTACATACGCGTACATATGTACTTAGTTATATAATCGAATAAAGAGAAATTAGAGTATATTGTTTTTTTATCAAAAATCAACTTTTTATCACATAATTGCATTAAACTTCGTTTATATATATGCAATATATTTGCGAATCTTTTTGGTATTGAAACAGAAAGCAATTAGCCTTGACGAACAATAAACCTTGATGATATATAAAATGAGATTATTTATAGTAGTCATTATTTACAAATTATATTAGCGATATAAATACAAGCAGATTTCCTATCTGCTTTATCGGCTACTCAAGTCGCCAACAAAGATGAGAATTTACTGTAGAACGTCTAGATGTCTCTATTGTGCTTTTACGTCGCAGGGAAAGTATATATATTTGGTGTTCCGAGATCATTTGTATTTCTTTTTGTGTAAGACTGGAAAAAGACGTATATACAGAATCTTTGCGCACTTATAACGCGCGAATTCCAATAATATTTATCGAATAAATAAAAAAATAAAAAAAAACTGACTGGAAAACCTGGACTAGTAGAGTTAATGTTTTTGGAATCAAGTTTTAATAATATAATGTAATAGATATTTGTGCAATAATTTCCATATATACATACACAATGAGTAATGAGCATATGAGTATGTAATATATATTTATATATATTTATATATATAAATATATCTATTATATATGTAACACGTGTGCGTATGTATAATACTGGTATTTTTTTATTCTTAAAAGGATTTAACATTAACATTGGTCTATAGTCCACAATTGCAGTCATGTGCAGAATACCAAAGATGTAGAATCGCGGCGCGAGCGAGACGTTATCGTGTCTCTTGACATAAACCTAATCTAATTTAAAAAATTAAGAAACGTCATAAAAATTATACGAACTGATGATTGGGAAAAGCATTTTATTTCTTTTATGCGCCGTTTTTTTTTTTTTTTTTCAATTAGTGTCCATTGTCGGTCGTATACTGATTGATTAGAATAAATCAACGTATAGAAGAGTAAAATCTCTTTTTCCTCACGCAAAAACATTTCAGCGTCGATTAGTGCACATTATAGCGTACAACATACACTGTATACTGGAAAATAATTAGTTATATAAGTATAATTAACGTTTTTTCTAAAAGATTTTTACGAGTGTTTTTTACATATATGTTATATATGTATATTTTATATGTATATTGAGGTAATATACAACTCCGGTAAACAAAATGATAGCGTCAACAGAGACTAGAAGAAACCGTACGAGATCTGGAGTCACATATATCGTTTACATTAATTACTTCCGACTCTTGATAGCCTTAATTGAATTATGACGTTAAAAGCAAGATATATAAATTGTTATGCAATTTAGATCAGAATAAATTATCTTTTTACACATATTGGTCAAAACCGAGCACAAAATAAAAAAATAAATTTGTAAAATCCGCCGAAATTTTTTTCTTTCTCACAAATGCGTGTATAATTCAATCTACGTTTTTTTTTCAGCGATAATAAGCCTTATGACAATTGATCAAAATATACAGATGTTTATTAAAATCGACAAACTACGAAAAAGAGAATTTTTCGGCGGATTCTATCATCTGACGCTTTCATATATTAATAACAATGTATGCAAATTAGTTATTATAAAAATTTGGTTTATTTTAATATAATTGATATCAAAATTTATATATAATGTCTCGTTTCTCGTCATAATTTATATAGCTACCGAGTGCTCAAAAGCTTTCTGAAAGCTTTTGCCGATTGATTCTGTTGTTGATATTGTCCCGTAAAAATCGAGCAGATATGTTAAATTTTCAATTTCTGCCTCTAATCATAATCTACATAATTTATTATTTTCCAGTACCTATAAACACACGTGCGCGCGCGTTGTGCGTTTTGTTGTTTTATGTTGTATATGTATATTGTCACGTTAATATTATATTATACTAGTTACATTATATTTAGCCGTATGTCCGTGTCTCTATTATTCAAAAAACACAGAAAAACAAACTTTTTGTTCTACTCAATTAGGTTTTGTGACAATTTAAATCACAAATTGATGTATACAACACTTCAATAAAGCACAACCAAAAAAAAAAAAAAAAGCTATTATTCGCTGTATAAGTTCTCGTGCAATTCGATCGCGCATTCTCCATCTCACAATTTATTATCCGAATATATCGTCTCGCACAAATTTACTCTTGATTTAATGCAACAGGTGTTCTATAAGTAACGTTACTTAAGACATTTTTTTGAATGAGAAGAGAAAGAATCGGCGAAAAGAAATAAGAAATATTAAATTAGCATCAATATTAAAAATATATTACACGCATTTCCTCTTGCGTTTTAGATCTTAAAATCAAAAACAATTCACTTCGTGGTTTTATACAAGAAAGAAAAACATATATATATATATATGATTTAACAAATTTTTAGATAAGAAAGATAAATAAACGGTCAAATCGAGCAAAAATTCAGGATGAAAAGTATAAATCAAAAATAATTTATTTACATACGAAAAGCAACAAAACGTTTCGTCTCTGACTTGGGACTTCTTCAGTCGTGATATAAATTTTAAACGCAAAATACAATTAAAAAAATATATAAATAATAAATGGTAAATAACATAATAAAAATTATGTCGCAAAACAAATATTGACCAACAAATCACAAGCGATAGATTCTTTTACGCATATCATCTCGTTAACAATGTGTGTGTGGTGTAATAAAAAATAGATAAAAAAGATGTCATACACATTGCCGTGAAGTTGTCCAAAAGTAAAAAGATGTTATGAGTTCTAGAATGGCACAGATTAATTAGATAAAGCGCAACGCAGATAACAAAGGTAACCAAAAACAAAACAACTTACAAGTTATTGATGTTAAGAGTCAACAAACTCTTGTTACTCAAATGTTACTTTTCATCCTGAATTTTTGCTCGATTTGACCGTTTATTTATCTTTCTTGTTTGTTGTTACGAGCGTATTACCCTTGACTTTGTTAAATTTTTAGATGTACCGAATACTGTTGCAAACAAACGTACTGTAAAAAAAAAAAAAAACTACATTGCTTCGATAATGTATAAATATTCTGTCACATGTGACAGCAATAATAATAATCCAGTAATTTCGATCGTATTCAAGAAGTATTGCGGTGCTCACAGTTGCAGTTACGTTTTGAAAGTGGCGGCGAAATCGCGCGCGAGAGAATATAGCGATGGTGGCGGTCGCCGCCGGTGCGGAGATACTACGCGCTGGTAGTGTGGGCAATGGCACGGGGATAGGCCGTAATTGGTATAAAATCATCGAGCAAACACATCGGACAAGACAGCCCGGGGATTGTGGGCGGCGTTGCGTGCCGTCGTCCTGGTTACCACGGGGGCGACTCCGCTAAAGCGGCCCCTTCGCCCCCCCCCCCGATTGCGCGCAGTTTCGCCGCCGATACATATATACCTGTGTGTGTATGCGCGTGTGTGTGTGTGTGTGTACGTATGTATGTCCATCCAGTTCCCAATGCTCTTGCCTTTCCTCAGCTACACATGCCAGATTTACCGCCACCAGCAGCAAGGGTCGGACTCTGACCAGGCGCGATCTTCGCCCTCCCGGGTAAAATGCAATTTCATTAACCGAATTCAGTTTGTGTACAAAATTGCTTTCATGTTTTTATTTGTGATGTCTAAAAAACAATACTTTTTTACCTTGTTTGTTTAAAGAGATATAATTATATTCAGCGGCAAAATAATTTAAATCGGTAACATGATATTTTGATACGAAAACATAGATTTTTCTATACACGCGATTTTAAATATATTGTTTCAATTATGTTTTACTATGTTAGTTACATCTCTCTCGTAAAACTCAGATCTCATCCAGATCCACTCTTCCGGATCAAATTTGATTCATCTGATTTCACCCGCGGACACCGCACAGCCTGCTCTGTATCCCCATAAATCTTTATAATCCAGGTCTTAATGATAAGTAAACACCATACGCCTCGAGTGATACAAATGTTTCTACAGCGCACGCAACCTGTCGAGTGTTTAGTTAAAATCTCCCTCTCTCTCTCTTGTATCTTCTCCCCTTCGCGCACAAATCCACGTTTATATTCCTAATCATCGGGGATAATAGTTGCTTTTGCGGCAACCCTCGGATGCGACCGATGCATATGTTGCTCCTCGGCATGTCACGTACTATACAACGCGATAGTATTTTTGCTAATTTTAGTAAAAAAAAACATTTTACCGCGCTGCTGTAAAAAATTCACAGAATTGCAGATTTGAGAAAAGTTTAGAAAACAGAATCAACTAAATTATAAAAATTGTTTTTTTATTTTTGATCTTATTTTAGGGTGTTGACGCAAAATTAAAGTTAATAAAAGTATATGTATATGTGTACGTATAAAAGAGAATTTGCAATACAAAAATATGGCTACGCGATTGTTTTTTTTTTTTTTTTTTTGTCGACCTTATTACTTTTCTCTGACCGGGTTCTTATACACAATATCCATATGAGTTTTACGGTAGAGTAGACGCGCAGCCCGGAGTATAAAAGTTTAAGTCTCTTTCAGGTCTCATATTTTTACGAGCGACCCGCGCGAGAAGAAACAAAACCGTTCGCTGTTCGGCACGGCGATTATCCACAGTCTACACTGTTTGAGTCAGCTTATTCACGAGTCCTCGCAAAAGACGACTGACGACTTTTCAACATATTATGTGCTACTTTTGCGCGCTACAAATAATTACCGTGCATATCCGTGCGTCGCGATAACAATACGTGCGAAACGTCACATATGATAAATCGCGAGATTTTTTTGATTCTTTTCTATATATTGCAAGTTTTCCACCGTTTTGACATTCAGAAAGAATAAACGAGAAAACAAGATGGGTAAAAATTGAAATTTTTTAATGAAATTTCTGCGACATTTTTTCATGCGCGCTTAAAATCAATGGTGTATATATAAAAATAATGTTTGCGATAATATACATTTTTTTTTTTTAACTCTCATTTATTATGCAACTTCCCGAGTCAAAATTTAGCGTCTACATTGAACCTCAATTTTTGAAAAAAGGAAATTTCGGACGTATAGCAGCGTCAAAGTAGCATCTACTTTTTTTCTTACTCCTACATAAAAAAAGAGGAATTGAGGTTCAATGTAGACGCTAAATTTCGACTCGGGTTATGTAACTTGTAAATTGTTGCTTTACCTCTTTTTGATGTTATAATGACTGACTATAATTATTGCGTATGATTTTGTCGGTAATTCGTCATCACTAATACTTAGGAGCGGACGAATAGAAGAAAAACACCGGTCGCGCGATGCGGATGTAATGAGAAGGTTCGACATGGCGACATGGCCTATGAGGGGGGTGCCATTATCGGTCGTGTGCGACGACGAGTCCGGGCTATGCACAAGCCGCGTGCGGCTCGTTAAATTCTTCAACCGGTGAATGTGTGGGACACGACCACGATTCTGTGAAATTGCGCGATCACTCGTAACATAAAGTACCGATCGCGCGCGCGTCAAATACCGCCTGCAGCGCCGACTTATATGTGCACGGAAGAGAGAGCTAAACGTTTCAAAAAACCTTCTCCGAGAATTCAACACATAATAAAGATATGTATATTTATATATATATATGTGTATATATAATNTGTACACATTTCTCTTATTCAAAATTATTTTAAAAAACATCATAGTTTTGAAAAAAAAAATGTAAATTTTAAAAACAGATACTTGGACGGATATA